ACTAAATAATAAAAAAAAATCAGGCTTCCGGTTACATGTTTGGGTCGAGGATTAAGTTATTCAAAATTTGATGGCTCTAGGTACCAAGGCAGGTAGGTTTTCCACAATGTGAGGAACGTGAATACAGACTATTCATTATTTAATCTCTTTAAAAATAGTGCAGGGCAATAAAATTTTGTGGCAACAATCTGAAAAGTGATATGCCATTTACGGTGAACCAGTGCAAAATCCCACTAGTAACCCTTTATAGGAATGAAAGAGACTAGTTTTATACAAGAGAAAGTTAAGCATGGCGAGTTTTTAAAATATTAATGTAAGTAATTATGCATTATTTGCATAGACTCCAACTACAGTTCTGGATTCTCCGTAGTTTCTACGGAAATTCATGAAACCTACGAGCTACGAAAAGTATAGAAAAAACTACGGATTTTACAGAAACAGAGTAGGAGAACCAGTGCGCAAAACGGAAACAACTAATTTATCTGATGATTGGCTGAATCATATATCATGTGTTGAGTGCGTTGCTGGTTTTGAAGAATGCCAACCGTAAATCAGTAACTCCAACCATTAATGACAGTAGTTACCCCGCAACATCTGTATTGTGTCTTGAAAAAATTTTAGTTTGCAGTCTTATGACTCCTTCACTTACTACTGGCCGCTTCGCATCACGTGGTTTTTACTCTGCAACTTTAAGGAAATAAATTTTCTAGCATGTTTAATTAATCAATTGTACTGTACCCAAATTGTGTTTCTGAAGAATAAAGACATTATTATCTCTTCAGATTCGCCTTTTTGAACTTCTACAGTCTTATTTTACGTTTTATTCAGCAATTTTATGAAACTTAAGACTTATTTTGCACCGCCAATCCCATAGCTCACTCGAGCACTTTCACTCACTGATACCTCTCTTTCATCTCGACTGCTGCTGCCATAAATGATACTTGCCTCTTCACTGCTACTGACATGCCATCTAATTGCATTTAAAAATTACTGTTTACTGAGTTTATCTCATGATATCGATTTTGCCTTCGTGTGTGTTGCAGTTTTCAATACACCTCTTATTTTATTATGATTACTAATGGCCTTTGGTAAAATGTTTAATTACTGGTTAGAATTCTTAGAAGTTGATGCCAGAAGAAAAGATACAATCCTAGATCCTGTCTCCCAGTTTCGTTTCCGTTGCTTGTTTAGCTTGCCTTCGGCTCCATTGTTTGGATTACGGCGAGAGCTTAGCGTGTGTCTTGTGAGCTGGGATTCAGGTGGAATTTTTTTTAAATAATGCTACCTCGAACGAAAAAGCCATAATTATCCAAGCAGAAATTTAAAGTTTCATATTCTTCAGAATTTCCATCCATTAAAGCATCCGAAATTTCTGTGAATCATGCACACTGCAGTGTATGCAACAAAGACTTCTCAGTTGCACATGGCAGAAAAGATGACTGTAAACGGCATGTTTTTTTTCTCAAAAGCATATAGAACTTGGCACTGTAAAATCTAAAGAAATAATGAATTTCTTAATAAAAGATGACGAAACAGGTCATATAGAAGCCGAATGCTATTTTGTTCGATTTTTAATTCAATGCAATCTACCGCTTTCTGTTTCGGATCATTCCAAAGAGCTTTTCAAAGCAATGTTTCTGGATTTTGCCATAGCAAAAAAATTTAGCTGCGGTCATACCAAGACTGCCGCTATTGTGAAAACGCTTGCAGAAAGTACTGTTGCCAATATTATAAAATCAGTGTGCTATACATCATTTTCTTCAAGTACTGATGGAAATAATGATAACAATGACAACAAATTGTATCCATTGATTATAACATATTACAGTAAAGAAAAGGAAGTGATAATTACGTCATTGATTTCTATTTTAGAGTGCACGAATAATACCGGAGAAGATATTTTTAATTGTATAAATGAAAACTTTAAAAGCAAAGGTTTAGAATGGAAAAATTGCTTATCATTTTTTTTCAGATAATCCTAGTAATATGATTGGAAAGTTTAAAGGTTTATCAAAATGCATCAACCAAGTCTAAGCATACAAGGTTGTCCTTGCCACTTCTTGCATATAGCTGCAAAAAAGGCTACTGAAAAATTAATTGGCTTGGAAATCGAAAATGTTGATAATAGATATATATTTTTATTTGGAGAAAAGTTCAAAATGGAAGCAATAGCCTTCAAAGTTGCTCAACAAATTTTGGGACAGAATGCAAAATCTCATAAAATTTTGAAATATTGCAGTACGAGATGGTTGTCTCTTTTAGAATCTATGAAAAGGATATTGGAACAGTGAGATGCTGTGATAAATTTTTTTGGAGAATCAAGCTAGATAACAGTGAGAATGAAAGAGAGAGATTACAAAACATTAAAAAAATGTTGCAATCACCTACCACCAAATTATACTTGATATTTTTGAAAAATACTTTGCCTTTGTTTATAACTGTAAATATTAATTTGCAACAACAAGCTACTTATATACATAAATTAAGAAGAGAACTTGTGAAACTTTTAATGGATTTGTTTGTTAGATCGTAAAACCAACAGTAATTTCTACAGAAAAGGAAGATTTTACTCTAACATCTTTTCCATTTCAGAAGTATAGTAAACAAAAAGAAAATGAAAATTTAGTGATTGGTGCGGAAACAAGACTGTATTTAAAAAATGCCAAATTGAATGAAAGTGAAGTAAAATCATTTTTCAATTCTGTGCGAGTTTTTTTTGTAACTGCATGTTCATATATAATAGATAAATTTCCACTAAGTGATCCATTTCTAAAACATACTGAAGTTGCTGACATCAACTTAAAGACTGAAGTTTCACTTTCATCTGTTCTTTACTTGATGAATACTTTTCCATCCATTATTGATAAAAAATATCTTAAGTGGAAATTGAATTTTCCATGTATCAAGTAGATGATTTGAAAGAAATTGTAGATTTGGGTATTGATATAGCATGAGGAGAAATTGCCAAATTAAAAAATATGAATGGGTGTATTAAATACAAAGTATTGCCTACTATAATGCATGCTGTCTTAATAATACCTCATTCAAACGCAGCTTGCGAAAGAATTTTTTCTATTGTTAAAAAAATCGGACGGAATTTCGGCCAAATTTAGGTCCTAAAACTCTTGAAGCAGTTTTGATTGAAAAAATAAGTATGCAGGCAAATGAAGAATTATGTTATAAAAAAACATTCTCAAAATCAGAACTTAAGCTTACTAAGCATGCTACATATTAATCTTTGCATTCATAAATTATAAGCATTTTTTTAATACTTATAGTATTACTCTGGTATTTAAATTTATTTCCCTGCGGAAATAAATCCAGAATACAGATACATGATTATGGATTCTGATTTTTCTATGATTAGTAGTGATTTAAAAATACTTGCTTTTTTCATATAACAGTAGATTTAGTGGTATACATGGGGTTTGAGGAGTTAAATGAAAATTTCTAATTAAATGTGCACATAATTTACAAGGCATATTTTTAATTATTCAGTTTTATATGTATTATATAGATTTTAAATGTAACAAAATTGATTACAATTAATGATTAATTAAAAATTAATGAATGGTTAATTACAACATTCGTTATGAGCACATTTTCAAAGTTGTAAAAATGTCGTTCGTGAGTTGACTACTGACAAGTTCTGCTGCAGGTTGGAGTCTTATGTATTTGTACAGTAAATGTTCTCATGTTGTGAGGCAAATAAAAAAAAAATCCAAATTTGGCTGTCATTATTGTGAAGAAGAAACAGCTTAGCTATGATTGTTACAATAGCCTTTAAATTACAGAAGCAATGGAAATGGCTAGACACGATGCAATAACATTCTTCTGTATGTGGACAGCCATTCATAAAAATAAAATAACCACAGCCACAGGTAAAATTACAACTAGAACATATACTATACTGCATTGAACCACAGATAAATCCATTATGAATGGTAAACAGAGGAGAAAGAGAAAAATGAGAAAGAATGTCATTTAAGTTCCAACTGATAAAGTCTGCTGAACTCTTTTTAAGAACTATGTGAACATAATTTTATGTATGTGATTTTGGTTATTCAATTTGATATTTTGTCAACAGATTGAATTATGTGCAAATTTAACACACCCGACTTTGTTTATTACAAATGGCACTTAATTCATATTTTTATTCATGATCACAAAAAATATATAAGTATTTATTTTTTTATATTTAATGCTTATATATATTAATCATACCATTTATGAACCCTAGCAAAAATGTAGCAGGTAAAGCAATTTTTTTTTTTTTTTTTGTCTAACCATACGATTGAAAATTAACTTTTACGATAAGAACAAACTAAATTTTACATTAAATTATTTAAAATGCTTTTAAATATTACTTTCAATACCTGTTTCACAGCAAAACTGATTATACTTTTAACAGTCAAATGTTTTTATTTAATTTTCATTGCTTTAATTATAATACAAATAAATGTTCTTGATAAGACACACTGCATGTCCCCCCTCTCAAAAATTAAGTCTTTCCATTAATTTTAGTTTCGTTTCATTTGTTCAATACAAGCTTTGTTAAACTCTGCATCGCATAAACACTATCTTGGAAATATTCTAGTATAAAGTTATTATATTGTAATAGCAACATAGGTCACATAGAACTTCATGTAGGTTAAATTTTGCTACCTTCAGAAAAAATATTTCTTAATTTGAACATTAATATATAGGAGACAGGGATATGCTTTATTTTATAAACAATTTTTTTGAAAAATGTATAAGATTCATTTTACATGATTTTCTTTATAATCATTTTACATAATATTATCTTTTTAGCTGAAAGCATGAATACCTCCAATAAAAATGCCCTTTCTTGTAACCAAGAATAAATCAATATATATTGACCATGAAACTGTTTTCAAATATATTAATTCAATTGAATATCAGGTTCTCATTGTTTTTTCTGCTATAACTTGAAATATACATTCAGTATCATTTTGTGAAATGATAATTCCCATACAGTATTTTTTAAAAGGATGAAAATTCAGATTTTTATTATACATCAGATGTTTATAAAATGCACATTCATATACAAAAATATGGTGAATGAGTATGTAAAATATGATTTAGTTACACATTTTTCTTCTAATATGCAATGTTAATTCAAGTTTTATGTGACATTCACTTTTCCACTGATTTTAAAGTTCTCAGAATTTGATTTGCAGCACAGAGTTAACAGCTATTTTTTGTTTTCAGAGCAGCAATAGCTTCTTGATTTATGATGAATATAAAACGCAACATCGTAATCTGAAAAGAAATATAATCATTATTTCCAAAAAGTGCAAATTATAATACAGATGAGGAAAAGACATGAATATTTTAATAAAATGTTATGCAGTGAATGAATTAAATACTGAGAGGCACTATGACTATCATGGAATGGACAGAATTACTTAATTTCACGAAAACATGCCAGAGTTATCTGCATCAGTTCTGCTCTAAATTTGACTATGGCTTCTATAAGACCTACTGTGGCATTATAGAATTTCTGTCCAGGCAATATTACTTATTGCTCAGTAATACCAAACTGGAGAGGCAATGCACATTCTTTATAAAAGTAAAACTCTTCTGGAAGCAATGTACATAAACATCTTTTTGGAATTACCTTAATGGTATAGATATTTAGAAAAATATCAGTTAGCTGCATTATAATGTTCATACAAATAGGCCAGATAAAAAGGAGGATTTGAAATTTAAATAAAATATAAACTTGCAGCAAAGTAAACATCTATAAATAGCTCAAGAAGTAAAATAAATTATTCTTTATAGGTGAGGAATAAATATCACCAAAATTACTTGCACAGCTAAGTCTAAAGCAGTAACCATAAAAAAAAAAAAAAAACATAGCAGCACAGTTCTGATCTGAACTAGCTAAACTCACTCACACACAGTGACTTAATAACATTTCTTGTCATAAAAATGTCCCTTACAAAAACTTCCAGAATGTTACTAGATTGGCAAGAAATCTCTAGATGTTGACAACTTGCTGACAAAAATAATAGCTAGTACCTGATGGGAGGGCTTCTGCTCATAGTTTAAAAGCCAATTGATTCAGAATTAAAACATCTACAAACATCATATGTGGAACAGGTTTGCCATTCAAACAGGCAAATGAAATTTCCTGACATTTCCAGGTGTTTTAAGAAAATTTCAGTCTATCCGCGTAATGCACGTTGGCTGTGCTAAGCGGTAAATTAATTATGGTATTACTTAAAAACAAAAAAATTTGCCAATTGCATATGACTTATATCCCCAAAGCATTACTATTATAATTATAATAGGAGTTGTGTTCTCCACTGAAGACTGAGATTAGATTTTGCCCAATCTGGAATAAAAGAAGGCTTTTTTTACAAACATTTTGCAGCTAAACGAAAGAAAGAAATCTACTTAATGATATTTTTAAAATTAAGTTCAGGTATGTTATATTTTTTTTCGCAGCATACATAAACAAAAAATATGTGCGTTAAATTTCGTGATGGTATGTCATCATACTGCTAGAATTAATTTCAGGATTATGCCAGAGAAAATTTCCTGAAATTTGGAAGTCAATGTAAAGAAGAAAAGGTTCCATTGACATAATGCTATTATGCCGCTAGAAAGCAGAGGGGAATTCTGCCAAGGGATTTGCCGATGGAACCTGGAGGCCTAAACGTTCTTTGACAAAACATTTCTTCTTTGATTTTTCTCAATAATTTAAAAACGGATTTTCGTAGTTTTTTTTTTAGGGGGGGGCTTAAAATAACTAATCCATTAATTAACTTACTTGCGCCAAAAAATATTTTTCTCTTCCTTTAAAGTTTAAAGAAATTTTAAACGGCATTTATTTTATGAACTCTTGATAACATGACCTTCGAAATTCATGCTTTGATGAGATATTTCACGCATTCGCAGCTGTTTCCCTCTACGTTGGAAGAGCCACTCTTGTTGTGAAGTTTTCCTTCTTAACAATACATATTCTTTGATTCTAACCTCCATGGTACCGAGCTATTGCAGATGCAATGTTGCCGGTTCCTTAAATCAAGCCCTAGGGCACATGACATAGTGAAATCTGGATATGGATAACATCTTAGAAGAGAGAACAGGGGAAAGGGAGAGGGGTATCAAAAAGAAAAAGGCAAAGGCATCTGGCAGGTGAATAAAACTTGACAAGATGAAGAAAAATCTGAAAGGATCCATGACAATTCAGTGAAATGACAAATGCAATACATGGTTCAAAATACTATACAACAACAACAAAAGTTCAATACTAAAAAAAAACTACACAAATACAACTCATACACAGAAAAACAATACAACAGCCAGTACAACATCACACGATTAATTCCAAACAACTTAGAGTACAGCACAGTCTACATCAGATACAATGTAATTACAGTCACCAACTGAGGAGCAAGATAAGAAGCAGTGGCCTAATCCCATGATAGTGCGAGCTGCTAGTAGTCTTATGTTGCTGTCTTCATTGAGTATTTCACATTTAAAGACATGAGAATAGTTCACAAAGTCACATTGAACAGAGAATTCATTAGAGAAGAATTTCTCATTTGTTCATTTAATAAATTCAGTGATGGTTTCAAGCTTAAGATCTCTATGAAGAAGTTCATTTCGGATGAGATAGTCAGCATCAGTGATAACATGAAAAAATTTATTCTGTACCACTTGAAGTTGACGTAGTTGATTTGGAGAAGCAGTATTCCAAGCAGGAGATGCATAACAAAGAATTGGACAGATGCAATTAGTGTAAATATGTCTCTTGGTTCTTAGACTAAGGCTAGAAAATTTTCCAATGACTGGAAGAAATCTGTTCATAATTCCAATGGCTTTATTTTTAACACTTTTAATACGATTAGTCCAAGTGAGATTATGGTTACAAATGACTCCTTAGTATTTGGATTTTGTAACTAATGGAACTGGCTCTTGAAAAAGGAAAAGTTTTTTAAACGTGACGTATACTAGGATTAAACCGATTTCGTTTTATACAAGAATAAGTATTTTGTTTAGTTCAACATGCCTTGAACATGCGAATGCGATTCTCAACGTTACAGGAAACTTGCTTTTTGCGTTTCTAACAAAAATCAATTTGCCTAATCTGCGAAATGGCTATACAGCCCAAATAAAAGCCTAAATGGATTTCCTACGCAGGAAAATGAATGATACTCACGTACACAGAGAAAAAATGATCACTTCCAACATCCGCGCAAAACTCGCTTTTTTTGGCAGGATTGCTGTATGAAATTCCCTGACTTTTCCAGATTTTGACTAAAATATATAAATTCTCTGAATTTTTTGGTCAATTTTCGAATTCTTTGACTTTTCCAGTTTTCCAGGTAGCGTGGCAACCCTGATGGAATAAACACAAGTGGCTCCAAATTGGAGTAAGCAAATATACACAATAAATAAACAGAATATAAAACAAAATGTAATAAATGATAGAATAAAACCAAACATTGTTAGAAACCAAATTGCACATAAATTCAAATATTATTTAAAATAATATAAGTATTTTAAAACTAAAATTTACATAAAGCTTGGTAAATAACACATATGCGAAAATCATGAAAAATTCGGCGTACAAAAATTGCAGTTCAAGCTGAATAACTGGTAAAGAAATTTCTAAAATCACAAAAACAGTCTGTTTATTACCAAAAGTCTACAATTAAAATAATGTGGAGGATGCAATTCAGAAATGAAGTCAACATATTTCTGTAGGCCTTTAACACAGAAAAGTAAAACATAACCAATTATGAAACCCTTTTAACCACAAAAGCTGACAGAAGTTTGAAGCAAGAGACCATTCTATAATCTTAGTTAATCAACAGACAGGATTTACGGATCTAGTATTTAAAGTTTTATAATCAACAGCTGCAAGCTATGGACATGGCATATAAAAAAATTTAAATCTCTCATACTTTTCATCTTGTATCACCATTGTTTATCCCTTATCTATTAAATTATTTGGAAGTAGGAACAATGTCACTTTTTTTTTAACTCATGCACAATGTAAAAATGGAAAGAAAATAGGTTGCCATGTATTAAGAAGTTCACCAAGTGAATTATTCTTGGAGCAAACTGGAGAAAATGCGGCAGGATAAATGTTTGAATTTCTCCGTAAATTTTGCACCAAATTTTACAAAATTTAACATTTAGACATAATTTGAGATGTAGAATTAAAAAAAAAAAAAAAGAGAGGAGAGAGAGGAGAGGCAATTTTTTTTTTTTTTTTTTTGAAGGACAGGAAATACAAAAAATAAATCTGCCAAATAAAGTCAAGATTTTATATCAATTTTTGTTGCACAGTACAAAGTCTATAATCCGGACATCCATTATCAATGATCTATAATCCGGACCTCAAAGCCACAAACTTTTTTTTGGTATGCTTTACGCATGCGCGTTTAATGTTTACGCACGCACATTTAGCACAAAAAACGAAGCAACTTTCATTGGAAATGTTTAATAAAGTAAACAAATAAATATTAAGCTTTTTTTTTTTTTTTGTAAATTTTGATACCCTTTAGATCATAATAGCTCTTTATTTTATAAATTATGGTTTCATATTTTTTAATTGTATAATTTCTGCATGCCATTTTACCATATTTAAATTGATTATCTACAATCCGAAAAAACCCTTAATCTGGAATTGCCGAAGTCCCGACGAGTCTGAATTACGGACTTTGTACTTTATTTCAAATTAAGAAATCGCACTATTTCACGCATTGAAAAATCTAGTGTTTGGAAGTAAATATACACATTAAGGTATTTTTGCCAGGTGTTAAACATCATAAATAAAAGTGTGTATTTACATGGTAGTAAATGTCAATCATCAATAAATCTCTGAAAGTATCTAATAGTACTTACCTCTATGACAGTATTATTACTCAGCTTACATTTGTTTCCATTTATCACAGGTTTTCCGTCCACAAAAATCGGTTTTTTACCTTCATTTATGACAAAAAATTCAGAATTGTTATCCATCTTTATTATTCCTTGCCTGCGAGAAATTTTCAGAGCCGGACCTTCTAGTGACAGATCAATGTCAACATTGTTATCCTTTGCTGAACGACCAAGTGTTACCTACATGAAAAATGAACTTAACTGAGCAAGCTACGATTTAATAAGAACCTATCGCAGAATTTCATTTAAATTTTAGTAGTTTTTGTTATTTTTTGGCATTATTCAGTAAAAAGTAAAGCAAGAATTTAGAAATAAAAGCAACTTTAAAAGTAGATAAAACAAAACATCCAAGCATAACTGATTAAACAAAAGGTTTTACATATTTCAAAAGGTCTAGTGGAAGTGTCTCGTTTTTAGGATAGCATCACCCAATGAAAATATCTCTTATATACCAAAATAGATATATTATAATATTTTGGGATAGGCATGAAACATATCACCTTATAATGATGTGACCCCAGCCATTGTACTTCATAACAATAATAATAATATAATAAATTATACGTTGATACTTTTATTTATTTATTTTTAAATAAATTTGCAAATTGACAGTTAAAATCATCAATTAACAGAATATTGTATGATTTTAATAACAGGTATATATTTAATGAATCAGTTTTTCAAAATATAAATTTTTTAACAAGTTACAAAAAACAGAAAGCTTATTTGGGAAGATCAGAGCTTTTTTAGCATTCTGTCAGCTTATGTGTTTCGCTAAAAGAATTTGTAGGAGACATAGCCTATGTTGAGCATGAATTGAACAACAGGCTATATGTATTGAATAAACTGATTAAGATCACATTCCATACTGCTTCAACAGTAAGGTTTTATGAAATAGTTAATTGTTGAACATGATTCCTAAAAATAAGCCATACCAAATCCATAGTATAAGAATATATATATATATATAGATAGATAGATATAACTGAAGAAAATTTTAGACCAGGGAAGAATCCTTAGAGCAAAATGTTAGAAAAAACCAACCTTCCTATGAATAGCAACACTTATATATAGTTGGGTATGTAGGCTTTTCAAACTCTCCAGAGGTGAATTTGAAGCAAGAGTGCAAAACTTTTATGACAGAATCCTAGGAGCAATATTTGTCATGTAGTCAATGTATTTTTGAATGTCTCAAAAGAATGCTCAAAAGATCTTGCACAGCTGTAATGCAGGCTTCACATCTGCGCAATAGGGTCTGATGCATATTTGCAAAGGCAACAGGCATTTCCCAAGTACTGCCGGCAACTAAATCCGCATTGTATACAAAGGGGTACTTGTAGATTAGGCTTTTCATATGGCTCCTCAGGAAAAAAGACAAACACGAGAGATCCGGTGATCTCAGTGGTCAAGCTATGGGATCATCTTGACTAATCTACTGCCCTGGAAATTTCGTGGTTCCTATAACCAGCCATCCTTTAGGCAATCCATGGTAGAAAATGCCTTTGGGTGCAAGGACTGACCCCTTTTTATACCATTTACAATGCCACCTAGTGGCTCACAGTTTGCATTCCGGCCATGCATTCTATGTATGACGAATATTGCTTGTATAGCTGCATTCTGTGAACCCCTTAAGTTTTGCCCACTTGTTCAGATTCACCCTGTATTACGTTGCAGTTGTTTCGGTCCATATCTCCTCACAAATTGCTCATATTGTTGAGATATCATCTCCTTCTTCTTGTAAAGACATTCTGTACAGTTGGACATGACGATGTCTTCTGAGCTACAAATTTACCAAGAATATCTCAGATACATTTAATGGGAACAAAAAAGGTCTACGGAATGAGCATACAGTATCATGCAAGTGATTTTCCCCATTGTTCAGTACCCCAGTACTTGTCTTGTACGGGCAAGCACTCAGCAATGTTTTGTGAGCAGAAATTTCAAATCTAAAATGATCTACATAAAAGATGAATATGATCCAGAAGTTCTTCTGTACAATATAATTCTGCTTACTAATTCTCATGTAAAGATATCCACTACACTGCCAGTAAATGTGTAAATGATTTCACATTTTTCATTTGATACCTACATCTTGGATACAAGTCATTATTTATTCTTCTGCCACTTTTGAGCAAGCATAAATTGGAGTTGAAATTTGAAAGGATGACAAAACAAATCCAGGAGAAATTTCTATCTACTCAGTTTTATTCCTACCCCAGACACCTGTTACTTCTACAAAGATAGAGTTTGAACTTGATTATCAAATTAAATAATACCATTTAGTAATCAAAATAAAATAAAAACATTTACTTATAAAAAGTTAAGAGCTATAAATAAATAACAATAAATCTTTTTCAAGGATTAAAGTTAATAAATCTTTTTTAATCTTTTCAATAAATCTTTTTCAAGGACTTAAGTTAAATTTCCAGATGCATATACTCACTCTGAGTGCTAATAAGAATACTGGCTGTATTTTTTTTGCGTCACTAAGCAAAAAATATGAAGAAAAATTTTAAAAGATTAAATATTCAAGCAATCTTAGAATAATTCCTAAGTAATTTATTATTTGCTAAATATCTGTATATGGGAAGTTAAGGAATGTAGGCAAGCGATTTTTATTCATCAAGAAAAGATTAAACGTTTTTGAGGATGTTCTTCCCACAGCTTAAGCAGTTTTTGAATAAAAAGCATTCAAAATCTTCCACGGTACTTACATATTATAGCAACCAGGTTGATACTATTCATAAGTTTTGACGCTATTTGTAAGTTTGAGTAAAAAAGTATGAATAGAAAGGAAATGTACATTTATTAATTACAGATAATTTTTAATAGTTTTTATATTATTTCTTTTGAAATATGAAATAGCAATTAAACCCTTCCAGGTTTTCGAATTGAATAAGCTGCGAGTTTTTTTTCGTCGAAAATTTTTGGCTATTGCTTTAGCACTGATTAAAAACCATATTCGCCATAACCATGTACACCTCGACTTATTTTTACTTAAAAAAACATCCCAGAATTGCACAAAAATGGGCATTGCACACTCTTCACTTTATCCATGTACACTGCTATTTTCTCATAAATTACAAAAATTTGCACGAAAATGAAATGAGGGAAAAAATGTTGTGAATCTCCACATCTCTTTTTACAAAACTACGTATACACCTAGGTTTGCTGTAAGTAGGTCGCCAAATTTCGCAATTTATGTGAATTTTGGCCTGGTTGCGTTAATACGTAAGTACCTCTTCCACTTTAATTTTTTTATTTAGCAATTCCTCAGCTCATACTATTTATTGATAGTTTTATGATGAATCACAGTACAGCCTTGATTACATGAGGTAAATGGGACCATAAGCTGATCAGATAATTGAAAACAGAAAAAAAAAAAAAATAAATCATGTTAATTTTTCTTTTAACAAGGTTTATTTGTTATTCTAATTCTAAAAACAATTAACATTTTAACAAACTCTTTTATACGTAAATAAAATTTTCCTCAGTCAGAGAAGATTATTTGATTATGGCAAAGCACATGCTGTCTATATGCTTAAGGGAAAGGAAGTAGACTTTCTACACAGAACTGGTTGATAAACAAACTCCACCAAAATTTTTTTGGGTGCATTTTGTTAACTTTCTTACATGCATTTTTATGCAATTTCTTTTTGAAAAATATTTATTACCCTTTTTTGTGATAGTTTTATAACTCTATTATCAGCCATACATGATCATACCATATTTCTACTAATAAAGGATCTACATGACAAACATCAGATCTAAAGATTTAAAAGATTTGCTTATGGCTTCAACAAGGCCAATTTTTCCATTGTCTGTTTCTATTTCATCATCATCATCAACATTGTTCTCATCAGTGAAATTTTTATTATTCTCGGATTCATGGTGCATATAATTTCTTCATCTTTCAAAATCTGAAAACTTGGCTTGCTGTTTCATGTATTTATCCATTTCAAACTGTCAACTTGAGATATGATCTTCCCTTACTTCATAAAAATTTCCTTGTTAGTTGTGTTGGACAATTTAGAAATGTTGAGATCAATTTTCACACGATCAATCATTTCAAAATCTGAAAACTTGGCTTGCTGTTTCCTGTATTTATCCATTTCAAACTGTCAACTTGAGAGATGATGTCTTCCCACTTTTTATCCTTCAAAATTATGAATTCATTGTTAGTTGGGAGTCTGAATATTAGAATTGCCTTCATTTTTAACACACGTAAATCACATTTTTTATTGTAATACACAACAGGAAGGCCATAAAATAACCTCAATCTATAATATAATAAGAACGAACCCAAATCAATCATTGTTAAGAGAATTTGCAATTATCATTTATTAGAAAAGCAGATTTAGAAAGGGAGAAACCTTTCTAAATCTGCTTTCCTTTCCCAATGATTTTTTTAAATTGAATGCCATTCAGTTAACAGAGGTTCTACTGAATTTCATGGTTAATTTAGAAATTATTCACCATAAAAAATAGGATATTTGAACATACCTCTCTAGACTGTATCAGGTATCTCACAATTCGACCTCTTAAAACTGCCAGCGTCTTATTATCAAAATCAGGTAGACTTACACCTAAATGTTCAAAGATAAAATTCAAAGCTATTAATACTTTCTAATCAGTTGGAGATTTCTGATTTTAAACCAGAAAAATAAAATTATAAATATAAAATAATGCAACACAATTTAAAAGTGTTTTTCAGATAAAAATTAGCAATGAAAGGTATGACGCAAATTTACCGAATTTTATAAAAACTTTTCCTTAATAATAATAAAAAGAGGGAGGACCTAGTTTAGCAAACAAGAAATATTTTGTTTTCTTTTTGTCTGACTTTCTTCATGATAATGCATTTCTTGAATTTTTTATGAAACATAACTTTTATTATGAAGCAGGTTTACAAGGGAAACTTAAATTTACAGCCACTCTGTAATTTCAAAAGAAACTAAATATTAATTGAAAAAAGTACTCTAGGAAACACATCAAAATAAATTTTCAATGGGTGATGTAACCATGAATGATGCTGACATTGCAGAATTTTTAATTTTGGATAAATTTACATAATTTTAACAAAAAATATGATTACATCTTAGCAAACTAAATGGTTGAGGGATAACCAAAACAGAAAGCTATACAGGGAAACATACACGAGTAGGATAAACAGTTATGAAACAGATTCATTTACGAAAAACTAATAAAAACTGGCTCAGATTTAGACTAGACATGGGAAAAACACTGAAATCTCCATGCAGTCAGCCTGTTTAATCAACAGAAGTTGAGTCTACAAAAGAACTATCAGTATTTAGTGATCTTATCCATTGATTACTGGATGAGGTAAATAGACAGTGGTGAAGAAAAGAAACCATGATTCAATCATAATAATATATTTCAATGTGCAAAATTTTTAAAGAGAGAGAGAGGAACCTAATTAAAGTCTCATGTACAAAGGATTGTCAATGTGACAAACACAAAAAGGATTATTACAAGCATACACGAGTAGGATAAACAGTTACAAAACAGAAACACTGGTTATTATTCAGCAAATTATACAGGATAGTGATTGACAAATCAGCTTTAACAACTATGTCATTTCTCCTTTGTTTGTAGGAATTTTGAATAAAACATCAAACTATTTTCTCCAATCCAGTGGATTTGGTATTTATTCAATCCTAACATAACAAAACTTTTTTTTTTTTCCTCCGTTTCCTAAAAATGAATAATCTTTCAAGTAAAAGCTTTAAAAAATTTTGAGATAACAAACTGCAGTGAATGAACTGCCTCATTATTTCTGTTATTGAATTTGTGGCAAATTTATTTGCATGCGTTTTCTCATATAAAATTGTAGATATTCATATTAAATGAAAGATAGACTCTAAATCGATCAACTATTAAATAATGAAAATAGCTCAATTATAAACTCAGATACAGGCAGAAACTCTCTGACAGGTCTTTTGACAACTTTTTCAGTCATTGGCACTGTTTTGAGATTTCTTGCAAGCCTGGTAACTTTTAGGAAATTTTCATAAAACGTATTTTTGAAGACATAGCAGCAGTTTTCAAGTTTCCAGAAAGCCGAGCAACATTATATGAACATGAATCTAATGATCAGTATTCAGTGTATTAATATGAATCTAACAACCAGTAACAGTACTTCAAAGACTAGTAGAGACTAGTGAAGAGTTAATTCACTGAATCATGAACTGCATTTTAGAGTTTATTTCTACAAGTGATATAAATATTTCTCATGTGTTAAGGAGAGTTTGCTTTATCTCTACATTTCCTGTGAGCTATTTACAGCTGTTTATTTCGCTGTATTACTAACAGAAAATTTTTTAAAATTTCTTTCCATTTATTTACCATATATTTTGAAGAGACTTTCATGAAAACTAAGGAACGAGAACAATATTATAACAATACGAAACACATCTTTAAATTTTATTTCAAGAGAAGGAAAACTTAAAACAAATGTGTTTAACTCTACAGAAGCCACTCTTGAAGTATTTCGTTACAAAAATTATAAGAGATTAAGCTTTTGGCCAGCAGCACATGAATATTTCTCAAATCTCTTTTACAAAACATTCATGAAATTAAGTTAATAGCTCTAAAACAATATTTAAAGAAACAGCACATTTAAAACTAGAATTAAATTATTATAGAACCAATATTAAAAAAAAAAACCTGTATAAAGGATGTTTATTATTAGAAAATGTACTGATAAATCTGCAGTAGCGGTGCAAAAAATTTCTTGTTATTAAATATCATTCAAACATTTACAGCAGAACAGTCTATAGTTATAGCTGTCTACAGCAGAACTCCAAATATTAGGACTAACTGGGACCATACTCCTTTTGTATATTTAGAAAATCCTGATAACTGAGCTATCAGTAATTTGAAAGCCAAATAAATACATGCTTATTTTAATGTAAGTAAAAGAAATTTCTTTTCATTTTTATCACATTTTTTCAACAAAAGTTATTTCAACTGTTTTCAAAAAATTAAGAAATGAAAAACTTTTTAAATTTTCTAAATATGCAATGAATTTCTGCTTCAACTAAAATAAAATAACTTCTCAAGCATATAAACATATTTATGCTAACAACATGCAGAAGTGAAATATACCATTTCTAAAAAAGCTCTTGTATGGCTTTTATTTTTGAAATATTTAGTTATAAACACATACTTGCAATTATAAAAATGTGTTAATGACATGATATTTGCATTTTTGGAATTCTTAAATTAAAAAAGATCCAGGCAAGATGAACAATAAAATTAAGCAATGTATTAATTCAATGCAATAAAGCTGAATGTGATCAGAGTAAAATTACTTTTACATTTATTCAGAAATTTTAATATTAACATTTAGAACAAAATATACTTATTAAAATAAAAAAACAAAAAATTGCAAAAATATAGGCTGCATATGGACTGCTGTGGGCATAATTTGTGTGTGTGTGTATATATATATATATATATATATATATATCAAGCAATTTTGGAGCAGCAGCTCTTGGTAACTTTTAGGCGAGCTTTCTACAATTTATATATATATATATAACCACACGCCGCACCCTGCAAATTGCCAAAACATTCGTTAGATTAATGTCAGTTAATAAAAATTAATTGAACTGCAGAGCCCATTCTCCTAAAGAACACTGCACTCAAATCAATTTATTATCATTATTTAATTTAAAGAGAATTTTTAAAATTTAGTGTAATTATTTTCTAATTTTTATTCAAGTTTTTGTCTCATTACTTTTTTTAATCTTGCATAGTTTAAAAAAAAAAATTCTGTCCTACGAAGTATATTTGAATTTCTTTTATTAATATATATATATATTATAGAGATTAAAATCTAAATAACCAAGTTAAAAACTAATTTAGTCATTCAAATAAATTCCAAATCAAATTTCTCGATTTGAGCTTTTTTTTGTTCAGATTTTGTTGCTTGGAACTTCAAATTTTCTTTTTGTTGCTTGGAAGGATTGAATTTTTAATGCATTGAAATTATACTTATGTATATGTATAAGCAAATATGTGGGTGTATATATGCATAGATACATGTGATTATTTGGAGAACATTCCCGACAGATGTTAATGGATAACTGAATAAGTTTGAACTATGTCTGTATTTTAATATTTCCTTTTAGTTGATACACATTTTTTAGCCCTCATAAGTACATTCGTGCAATACAGCTTGTTTCTTAAGAACGACATTGGTCTTGCTGCATTTAAAAAGTATTATTGTGAAGAGAGCACATACAGCAGGCTAGTCAGCAAGAGAAGCAGAAAGTAAGTGCGAAGTGTCTTAATTCAAAATGCATTAGTTTTGATATCAGTTAATCAGTTAATTAATAGCGCTCTAAAATTATTATTAGCTCACAGAGTTTCAATTCTCAAAACCATCTGTGACACTGGCATTATGTAAAAGTCGTGCAATATGGATTAATTGAGAAATACCCAAATTAAAATGTAGTTAAAGAACTGTTGAAAATTAAAGTTTTGCTTTATATATTTTTTATTTTATATATCCATATATGTGTGTACATTATATATTGCACTTTATATCAAGGGGAAACATACCCCACTTCAAGCATATAAAATCAGACGAAAAATAATTCAGTGCTCAATAGGTAACTGAAAACAATAATTACATTACATTCTGCAAGACAAAAATGCCTAATGTGGAGAGAGACTTAACATACCATAACATTTACTTAGTTTGCTTTAAGAAAAGTAGCAATTTTTATAGGAAAATAGTGATCTAAAGATTAAACTCTGGCTAATTGGCCTACATAAATTTGTAATTTCTTTTTCCTTACATTTTGAGGCTACATATTAGCTGAACAATGATCAATCTACATGTTGCACACATTCATAAGAATTAATTTAAAACCAGCCAAGAGAGGAACATTTGAGCCACAAGATAGCAAAGCACTTTCTCCAGATTCACTTAAAAAGTATATTTTTGAGAAATTAATGGATACTCTTAAATCTAACCACGCAACAAAATCAACAGGCAAATCCTGGGCTAACATTCAAGACACATGGAAAAAGTTTTGTCAAAAACCCCAAAAAGAGGCTGTAGCAAACTTCAGACTGCAAACAGGCCACGATTGCACAGCACATCATCTTAATAAAATTGGCATCCTTCCATCTAGTATATGCCAAGTTTGCAATTCGGATATCATGAATGCAGAGCATATTCTTATATGTCGTGAACTAGATAGTCTCAGAAACATGGGGAGATAAGCAAACTATACTGGAATGCCAGAGCTTTCATGAACTCCTTGCAAAGACTACATATCTTATGTTCCTTTCCTTGTTATTTAAATTTTTAACTTTTTACTTTTGTTCTCGAATTCATTTATTCTGATTCTTACTTTAAATGTGTTTCATTTTTTTTCCCATTATATACATCATTGTTCTTGTGTGATACTTGAACTGTTTTATATGTTTGGATTGGTCTTTCCAATAAAGCATATATAAAAACAACAATTTAAAACTTCTTGTTGCTGTTGTCTTGCCCAAAAGAAAGTGCAGAAAAGTGAAGTAGGTCTAAAGTATCTAAAACAGCCTTGTCGATGTCGATGATCTTCAAAGAACATAGGAGCTGGCACTTTAGAGAGACAAAATCAATTCCGAAGACTCCGGCCAATATGGCAGGACAATCAAAGATATATGCTGGAGAAAGCTGTGTACCAAGACAGTGAGGGTAGCAATTATAATGTCACTGACAATTAAGGGATATTTTCAGTCCTTGAAAGTGTTTAGTACTCAATAAATTTGTCAACATGAACCTAGATTGCAGAGCACAACGCATCAGCTGCCCCATTTACCATAGGAGCGGGGGGGGGGAGAGGCGAACCTGTCATTTTGCAGAAGATATTTTATAGCCTTTCTATCACCCAGTGGGAACCACTGTAGGCGTTCCGTATCCATCACCTGGAGACGCATCCTCTAGGGGTTACAGGCTCCCCTGAGAACTTCTTAAAAAGTATTATTAAAATCTTTTTACGTTGTCTTTCTCATTTTACATGTTAAATTCAAATCAATAACTATTAGCAAATTAACACGTTAAAATTTACTTACCACAGAAAGGAGAAAAAACAATCCAGATAATTCAAGTTCCATATAAATGAACTTTTTATGCACTAGCAAGGTAGCAATTTTTTATAGGAAAATTTTCATGGCACCTAAATTAAGCTAACCTTTTGATGGTCACCAATGAGCTCAGCTCACATTTCAGTGCAAACAAACATGACTTGCATTACAAATTTATGACTGACAGATATCCCACAGATTTGGGAAGAAAGAATTGCTTAATCTTGCAACGGCCGAAGGGTTAAAAATTATATATAATTAATTATTAAACAAAAAATATATCTTTCATATTTAATCACATAATTTCAATAAAACACATTCAATTAATGAATTACACTCACCAGTTATACAGTCAACTACGACTTGCCACTTCGGAAGTTCATTTTCTAATTGTTTTATTTCTTGCAGAACTCTTCTATCTGCATCAGCAATTTCTAGAGCAATAAACAGTTTATTAAAAATTAAAAGTTTACATAAAACAATTTGCAATTACACTTTACACAAATAATAATTTTTTAGAATCATGCCAGATGTACTATTAACTTTCACTTAAGAGATGCAAAATGAAACAAAGCAATATAGTTATTAAATGCAGTAAAACAGAATAATTATGCCAAAATTACCAATACATGCACATCTACAATTACCAGTTGCCCTTACTGAAGCTCCAGAACTACTAATTACTTCTTGTATAATTATCAATTTACATATTTTAATCTGTAATAATTTGTTTATAGATTGTTAGTTAATTTTTTTTATGCAAAAATACATCCTAAATTTTAAAACTGAACAACATAAAAGAGATCCACCAACCTTCTTCAAGTAGAGGTTCCTTTGGTTCTCTAATAAACAAACAAACAAAAAAGCAAATTAATATCAGAATGACAAATGTTAAGCATTTTAAATAATTGCAATTAAAATGAATTTCAACTTTTGATAATGTAAGCACTTCATTCATGCTATTAAAATTAAAAATATACATTTTTAATTTAATTCCCTGAAAATGAATAAGACATTCTTTTTATAAAATATTGCACAATATTTTTACAAAACATCAGTTGGAAAAGAGAAACGAGAAAATGTAAATTTCACAGATTGATAACAAAAACATACTTACGATGTATCTGAATAATCTAATGATTCCTCTTTATTATGGAAATTTATATGATGTTCTGTATGGAAATTTCCTGGAACTGTACAGGATATCACAATAAATATTAAGCAGTAAAAAATTTGGATGACACAAATATGCACACATAGAAAAAGAAGCAAATTCAAGAATTAATTTTTAAAAAAAATATTATAAATATCTTCAGGGGAAACTTTCTCTAGATTTTCTAACCATTATATTACACTGCACCATACTGCATTAGGTCATGCTACCAAGTCATTGATCATGTATGCATTTAGTAAGTATTGCGATTGCCAGAATCAGATGTGCGCATTCCACTAGCATGAAAGGAACATCCATTAATTAGCAAAACTATAAAAAGATTCAGAAGATCACACAATACAATAAGCACTGGAGAGATGTTCATAGAGCTTGAATGCAGCATCAGCATCTGGAAACTAGCCATACATAACACACAGTTTTAGATGCACAGCACCTACATATTTCAATTATTGTGTGGCACACAATATCATACATTAGCTTTTGCTGCAGATGCTCCTCTAGTCACTTACTTTTAATGAAATATTACTACCAGTTCCATTTCAACTCAGCCTACGAGCATGCTGATTATGCCACCTAAGTAGGAAAAGCTTATAAGTGGGTTGGATGCTTTTGCTACTTTGGCGATGGACATTTGCATGTTTCATGCTAACTTTATGAGGCTATGGCACCTTTATGCATGGTAATTTCTGTACATGCTAAGAGCGAAGCTGTATAGTGGGAGGTTGTTTTCTATTGGCAAAAATTATCACTACAGTAAAAGTCCAGAAATGTGCAGAGCTTGGGACCAGAGGTTGTGCAAATTTTAGGATTTTGCGGATTTCAGGACAAAAAAGATAAATCATAATATTCAGACTAAAAGTGCAAAATAAATAAGGCATATTAGATACATTTAATTAAATTTATATACTATTCAACAACTTATTATGCTTAAATTATTATTACATATATAATTGATTATATTATTAATTGTATTATTATGTACAAAGCATCAGGTTTTGCCAATTTTGCCTCATGCAAAGATTTCCAGTTTCGGATTCCGTTTTGTTCGACAATGTGCTGTAAAATTCAACAGCTTATCTTTATTTTCCATATATACACATTGGTGTCGCACTTCTACGTTTTGCTATAAACCGAGGAGCCCTGCTTCCATTTTTGCAGAATTTCCACTTTTTGCATTACTGTCAATGTAACTGTACGTTTTTCAACGTGCAGCAGTAAAATCATGAGGCATTTTATCTGTAATCATATTAAAAAGGGCTGAAATTTAAAAATTCTTTAATTATCATAAAATATCCATATAAAAAAGAGGCAGCACCAAATAATCTCGTGAAAATAACAACGCAGAAATAAACAATGTGAATCGTGAACTTGAAAGAAGAGTTGAATTAATCGTCTGCATTTTTACCTTGATGCAGATTCGAGGTGAAAAAACTTTTATCATGATGTCAATAAATTTGGTATTTCCATTATGACTCATTATTATTCGGTAAGTATTTTTTCTTCGATATTTCGTACTCAATGTTGTGGTTTCCAGAACCTATAAACTGAATGTTTATATATTGAGAGGCAACACGGATTTTAGGAGTTGGTGGATTTTCGGTATTTGACTGTATTACCATTACCATTTAAGGACAAACATACAAGAACCTGAGACTAAGAAAGGCTGATGTATCCTGGGTGCTAGGGTGCTCACTTATTCCAGGATACAATATGTGATACTACTAAGGAATGATTGCAGCATGATCTTTGAATCGTGGAAAACTATCAACATCCACGTTTCTTATGCATCCTTTTGGAAAGTTTGGGGTCACATTTCCTTTGATACATATCAGTTTCTGGTGCATTCATATGACTTGTCTGGTATGAATTTTGCAACACTTCTCTTTTGTGACAATATCTTTGAAACTGTGTTTTAACGGTTCTCTGTAACTGTATGGGCTGCATTTTGAACAACAATCGATTAATAAAATATTAGGTAGGTGACTGCAATTTACATTAATAAAATATTAGGTAGGTGACTGCAATTTACACTGGAAATTCTTATTTCAGTAAAAAGTACAATGAATTAAGATTACATATTAAATCTAATGTAAAGGTAATATTTTACTTAAGATATGCATTATGCAGCTAATTTTTTATGTTTTATAAATATGACAATTATTTTTTAACTGTATATTAATAAGAAGACAAATTTTTATTACCTTCTAAAATATGACTACTATTTTGCATGCCAGCTTGGACTACACGAATAAAACAAAATTTGGTTATGAAATAGAAAAAAACAAAATGGATCAAGAAGATACATTACAAATAAGCTGAATAAGAAATACATGACCATTATACTACATAATTTCTAAATGAATCTTTTGATATAAAAAGTGCAGCATATATTCAGATGAAATAAAAGCTAAAT